CCGTACAGTGTATGTGTAGATAAACACGAATTATACAGTGTCTGTGTAGGTAAACACGAATCGTACAGTGTACGTGTAGGTAAACACAAATCGTACAGTGTCTGTGTAGATAAACACAAATCGTTCAGTGTCTGTGTAGGTAAACACGAACCGTACAGTGTATGTGTAGATAAACACGAATCATACAGTGTCTGTGTAGGTAAACACGAATCGTACAGTGTATGTGTAGGTAAACACGAATCGTACAGTGTCTGTGTATGTAAACACGAATCGTACAGTGTCTGTGTAGGTAGACACGAATCGTACAGTGTCTGTGTAGATAAACACGAATCATACAGTGTATGTGTAGGTAAACACGAATCGTACAGTGTCTGTGTAGGTAAACACGAATAGTACAGTGTATGTGTAAGTAAACACGAATCGCACAGTATCTTTGTAGGTAAACACGAATCGTACAGTGTATGTGTAGGTAAACACGAATCGTACAGTGTCTGTGTAGGTAAACACGAATTGTACAGTCTATACCGGAGACTAAATCGTGGTTAATAAAGCATTCGAGAGTGGCTATTTACTTACGGTTTAGAGTCGATATAATTATTAAATTATCCATATAACTAACTATAAACACGAATCGTACAGTGTCTGTTGAGTGAAACACGAATCGCACAGTGTCTGTGTAGGTAAATATGAACTGTACAGTCTATACCGGAGACTAAATCGTGGTTAATAAAGCAATCGAGAGTGGCTATTTACTTACGGTTTAGAGTCGATATAATTATTAAATTGTCCATATAACTATTATGTTATTGTGCTTTCATATGAGAATACGGCAATTTTGCGGTGTGCCGTATTTGATTTCAGGACTATAATATTTCGGTCAGTTAGTGAGTTAGTATAATATAATTAAAAAAAACTTGGTAAATACTACAATATTAATTGAGACAGGTTCTAACATAATTGCATGTCTTCTCTGTGATTACTATACTTACAGACGATCTAATAAGTTACCAATGCTTAATGCCCATCTTCCAGGGCCACTTTGTAATATAGACAGAATTTAGATTTCATAAAGAGTTAAAACTACCCTTGTGTCGGATATTACCCAGTAAACAATGTATTACACCGAGTTGCCAGAAACCTTATATACCTGATGGGTGACTCATCTCTACGTGCCATGTGATTAATAACCATGTAATCAACTGACTCAGACTGTGAACAAAACATGGCATTTTTTAATAATTGAATCAATATTCTTTCAAATTCATGTCTTGAATGCATTTGTACAAATATGATCGATTGAACAGGAGTATCGCTGGGTCAATAAGGTTGGCAAACTACTCGTTCTGTGTATACATTATGAATTAGAAACATCGTGTATTATGAATACCCATCGAATGATGTTGTTATCGAGATCCATCATAGTAACTTGAACCAGACACTTAATATAATCGTGGGAGATGGACAATATTTCGAGTAAAACTCTGTCTGTAATTAATCATGTTAATATTAATAATCCACACGTGAATTTTATTTTGCTCTCTGTGAAAAATCTGTAATCTTTCTTATGCATATTACATCACAAATGACAGCGAAAATTATGCAAACACATTTCGCCATTATGATAACTAATAAACTGAAAGTGAAATCAGTTTTTAAATATTTAATTATTAAATACACTATTTAAATACACTATGTCATAAAAAAGCAAACTGTTTAGATATTGTTTATCCTTGCCACACTACACTCGCTTGGTTAAATGCCTAAACAGAATTTTCTCCGAAATGAGTATAATGACCCCCCCCCCCACCGTATTTTGAATTTTTCCCTTTTTACATTATTTTTACTATTGAGTAATGCTATATCTTCACAGTAACATCCCACATCATTGTAACAGACCGTAAATACGTCAAAGGTAAAACGTCATACATGTTAGATACACTGAGATTATGTTCCATCTCTGCAATCATTGTCACCGTCATCCTTTGTTATACCAGCCTTAAACTCGTTCTGGACTTTCTCGCCACTGTACTGTATCGATTATTGCGAAGTGTAAAAGACTCTTGTATTTTGTTTATCCGGCCGTACACAAGTTGTTTATATTTATTTAACACGAATGGGAAAGCAACGAGGCTTTAGTGCCTATGCACAGTATCACCCTGTGATCCCAAGAACAGAGGCATAATTTATCTCGTCAACAATTAACAACTTTTGTAACATACATTAACTGCTCCCGGCACTTTATGCTATGGTCGCTGAGATAACCCCGAACTCTTGCATATAGTTACATTATGTCTCACCAGTACGCATGCGTCTATACATTGCCCAGTTATTATGATTAATTAACATATATTGTTAACTAATTGTGAATTCTAAAATGACACATTAGGTGTGCGTTTACGTATACTCGAAATCATTGTTCGGGCAGCCACACGACAGGAACCCCTTATACAACATTCTGTTCTATGTAGTTTTGGAATGGAAGCCCTCACACGGCACCCATACTGCGTCATAAATAGTGTTGCCCAATCTAATGCTCGATTTTCTCTACAAATTAGATAGACGCGTAAAATACTTTATTTTAGCTGGATTAATTTTCTCTAAAAAGAGTTTTTGGATGTTTTGTATGAAATTTATTTAGTGATTTTTGACAAGTTGAATGTAAAATATAGAAAAAAGGTATATTCGCAGGATTTTATTTTCACTGAATCATTCCTCCAGTGAAAATAGCGTGAATTAAGGTAGAAGCCTACTCATGATTTCAAATACCATGAATTTTCTTTATGTTTTTTAATAAATTGTACTTCCGGGCAATATAAGAATATTGACTTAAATAAAGTTGGTTGTATTTTAGTGGATAGCGGCCATTTTGGTAGTATTATTGTGCTTTTACCATAGGTTCCTATTGCAGAGATATTATGCCATATCTCAAATTACAGGCTGGTGACATAGGCTGAAAAATAATATATTGTAAATGATGGGGTACTTTTTGTTTTCCTGAAATTTTCAAAAATCTGAGTTTTAAAAAAGTGTTGAAAAATGCAATTTTTGTTTAACATTGCGCTCTATGGAATTGTTCTAAACATATCGATTTTTGAAAAATATTAGAACAAGTTTCTCAAAATACATTACTGTAACACGTAAAAGAATGCTATTTCATGGTGCCATGAGACAATAGCTTCATGATTTTACACAATAAACCAATGAACATTGTCATGTGATTTATGACCAACCTTCTCAAAAATGATGAGTAGGCTTCTACCTTAATTCCAAGCGAAAATAAAGTATTTTATAGTATTTTTTTTATGTTTCCATGTGTACTCCCAGGTGGGAAATGGTCAAAATGGATAGCAAGTTATTTGTCAACATGATAGGTGTGCAAATGTGCATGTTCATTTTGTGCAACACTTTCTATGTGTTGACGAAGAAACGATAACATTAACGATAACCTGCGTGAAACCAAAATGTGATTTCGAGCGAAAATACACAAACGTATAACCCTGTTCTTGAAATCGATTTTGTAACCGGAAGTAGTATAGAAAAAATGGATAGAAGTCCGGTTATATATCTTTATTCATTTGATTAAGTTGCTTGCTTGCTGAAATACCGTTTGGATGGAGGGTCGTGTGGGCGGTACACATGAAAAGTAAACGTCTTGGGAATAAGATGCCTAAAAAGGTAACACTAGTCCACCTGCACGCATATTTCAAATCGCTGACTAAATAAAATAAAATATGTGCATACCATAATATGCAGTTGATAATAGTGTTAATTTGAACTAATGGAATTGTTTTGAATAATTAGTCAGCGCCAATATAAATATCGGGTCAGAGGTAAATATTGACTTGAATTACCACTGCCGGAAGTGAATGACTTCCGTGTTTTACGGTCATTGACATAATGGTGGGACCAGTGGTGGAGTAGGGCTCATGCTTTGGGACGGTTTGGCTTTTGATACAGGCTCGGTAGTATGCCTAGATGGGCAGATTTTCTACACACATTATTTGAAGAAAACTTATACAAATTTCGGCCCAATGCTCGATCGTTTTCGCTATATTTCGAATTTCGACAAATAAATTGAATGTTTGCAGAAACTTTTGTGGAGTTGGTTTGTACTATATGATATTATTTCCCGGGGCACTGCGAAGGGGTAACACAGACGCGATGATTTTTTTTTTAATTCAGAAAGGTAATTAGCGAGAGAGAAGAAAAAAATTATTGCCAAACCGCAACTTTAAGAGATTGTGTGAGGTTTTATTTTTCAAAGAGAAAGAAAAGGTGTCACGGGTGTTTTCAACGCCTATTTATTGCAACAAACAAAAGCAGCCATCAATGGAACAAAGACAACGAGTAAGTGTATAATATCGTGAAAGAATTTTTGCACCAAAACAGTCAAGGCAATTTTCACTGCTTCATTTTCACATATCTTTAAAATATTATATTTAATATTCCTCTCCCTCTTCCTCCCCTTCCCCTTCAGCTGAGTCGACGCCAACTTCCTCGTAATCCTTCTCCAAAGCTGCCAGATCTTCACGCGCCTCGGAGAATTCA